ATTCTATTCTATTCTATTCTATTCTATTCTATTCTATTCTATATTCTATTCCTGTTCTATTCTATTTTATATTCTATTCTATTCTATATTCTATTCCTGTTCTATTCTATTCTATTCTATTCTATTCTATTCTATTCTATTCTATTCTATTCTATTCTATTCTATTCTACTCTACTCTACTCTACTCTACTCTACTCTACTCTATTCTAGGTATACCCTTGTTATCTGGAAGGTGTACTATGATGAAAAGGGAGTCCAAAACAAGGACAAATAGGCTGAAAAACAGCTTCTATACCAGAGCAGTAACTATATTGAATTCTACCGTGTAGTGTAATACTAATGCAGTATCAGGGGTTTTCGGTTCAGTTGTATAGAATGGGAAGAATGTGTGTTTTTGTTTTATTTTTATAGTTTGCTTATGTATGATGTACACTGAAGATGGCATTTAATTTCGTTGTATGAGGTGCAATGACAATAAAGTAAACTAAATTAAATTTGCCCATTATATCCATGAAGCTGTAAAATGATCTGTGAAATTAAACCTGGTTACTCCAATCAATAATCTCACCTACATTATTACACAGAATAAGTTAACTCAAATTTAATATGCAACAGAGTTGTTCAGTACATCAGGTTTATACACACTATGTGTGTGTTATTTACTATTCTGCATGAGATTTCATTAACACGGAATTATTTTCTTAATCTGGATATAATTGTGAAAATGGACATTACCAAATATAAGAAAACTATTATATTTTGTCTTTGATCTGTTATTCTTTTAGTCTTATGGTAGGTGAAGAAAAACCTGGCTGATTGACAGTATAAAGAGCTTGTTTATATCTTAAATAAAGAAATAAATATATAAATAAGTAGATACTTTATGGGTAGTTCCCCCAAACCGCTCATGTAAGATATTGTAAATAAAATGACAACCGAACGATCAAATAGTATTGTATTCACTGGAACTAATGACTCAGATTATGAATTACATGCAAAAGGAATTTTGAACCTGAACCTAAAGTGTTCTAATAAAAATCTTAAAATCTCCATTGAAATCTGATTAATTTCAATGGAGCTAAATCTTGCATAACTCTGTTTTGAGAAATCCATCTTGGAAATAAAGATTCATGAATATAAACTTTCAAGATTGATCTGCCACTAGTGTTTTTTAGTTGATCTCATTGTAACTAATTGAAAAAGAAGCTTTAATTCTGATGAAGACTCATTAGCACTTAAGAACTAAAATCTGTTTTGAGTTTCATGGTTCAGATATATAACCTCCAAGGAAAAGCAGAGTTTTCTTTTTCATTGCCAGAATCTGAAACACATTTTGAGAGTTAAAATCTTGAAAAAGTATTTTCAGAATAAGAGACCCAAAGCTATTCAGCTGAAAGCATTGAACAAACTGACTTTGAAAATGCACAAATATGACAAAGAAAAATATACCAAACTTTCAAGTTGTCATAACCACCCACCATCAAATGTTTGAGGGTGGGTCTTTCCATTTGGTGGTCAGGGACAGACAAAAAAACTTGTTCAGGCTATTTGCAAACTGGAGGCAGTCTAAGCTTATGCCTTTTGCTTTTTGAAATTGAACCTTGCTTGCACACAGATAACATGAGTGCACTCTGGACTGTTTGCTCATAACTGTGATGTGGTGCACTGAATATAAGAACAGCCATTAAGGACTCCCTACACAGCCTGAAGAGAAGGTGGGAATATTGCAGGGTTAAATGTTGTGCTGTGACTCTTTCAATCACATAGTCTTCTTCTTCAAACTTGAGAATAACTGGTGGATATTCTTGCCAATCCGCATTAAAATCTGAAATAAAAAAAATCACATTAGGAGGTGAAACAAATTCAAATGTATTAGGAAAAACAAAAAGTCGGACCTCTTATATTTTTAATTTTTTTTTAAAAAAGCTCCATCATCATAGTTCAGAGTCCATAGGGTGCAGAGTAAAGGATCGTACTAAATTGGAGCCAGATATATCTTATTTGGTATTTAGGAATATGAAATTATCCCCCAGTCTTTTTAACAGGAATAGTGTACAGTTTGTGGATTTGCCCTAAAATTCAAACACAATAAAATGACATTGCTACTATTAACGGCATTCTTCTCCTTGCTCTAAAACAGAACTGTTTACACTGTTTGACCCAATTACCTTTTTCTCTGGTGTCAAATAATGTCATAACCCAAACTTATTAGTAAATAAATTTAATAATAAAGAACCCACTCCCACACCCCAAAATAGGCATTATTGTTTTGCATAAGCAGAACAGTTCCAAAGTAGATTCTCAATTCACAAACAAGCAATTACCTCCATTACCTTTAGGCATAATTAACTCCTCTTTAAGAACGAGTGCTCTAAATTATTATTTTGAGAACTAATTCTGGACTGCAATATACTCTTTTTTCTTTCTATTGTGGCCTTTAATGAACTTTTTAACAGATAAATAGCAACTGGTAATGTCCCCTATTCATAATTAATTTCTTATATATGCAATCCAACATGGTGACATGCTTTGTGAACCTATCAGCATTTTCATTAACTTTAATGCAGAGCCCCCCCACCCCCCACCCCAAAGTCTGGCAGTCAGCTTGTTCAGAACCATTTTCAACCGCCTCTCCTATTTGTGTGGGTGGGTATGTGTGTGCCCTTCAGAAAGATGGCTTAGTCGCAATTTCAGGAAAGCAAAATCCCGTAGGTGGGAGCTTCTCCTTTCCATTTCTCCTCAAAACTGTTTCCTCCAAGCGCCAACGCGTACGGTTTTTAAAAAGGGATTAGCATGTAGGGTAATCACTCATGTTATCTGTGCATAAGCGCACCAACATGCCTACCGTCTCTGTCCTGTGGTTTCTTTTTATTTTTCTTATATGTATCCATGTATTCGGAACTATGTTGTTACTCATACCTATTACCTTGGAAGCAATTGACAAACCAAATAAATAAAAAATAAATAAAATGTACAAAGCAAGCAGCAAACAACAACTATTCCTCCTCTTCCTCCTCCCCCTCCTCTTCCTCCTCCTCTTCTTCCTCCTCCTCCTCTTCTTCCTCCTCCTCTTCTTTCTCCTCCTCCTCCTCCTCCTCCTCCTCCTCTTCTTCCTCCTCCTCTTCTTCCTCCTCCTCCTCCTCCTCCTCTTCCTCCTCCTCCTCCTCCTTCCCCTCCTCCCCCTCCAAGATGCTCCTTGAATCACTGGAGTTAGGGGACGGGTGGGAGGAGAAGAAGGAGCCTTTGAAAGCCAGGCCAATGTCTCAGTTGCCTCTTTGTGCAACCCACACCATGTTTTCTCAGACCAAAAAAGGCTATACTTATCCTAAGAGGATGGAGAGGGAGGGAGGGAGGGAAAGGAACCCCAATTGCCATGAGAGGAGGGGGGGAGGGTAGGGGGGGCTTCACGGAAGCATAAAGGGGGGCGGGCGGCCTGAGAAGCGGGTTGGGTGAGAAAAGAGCCTTCATCGGCGCTGTCCCCGGTGCTGAAAAACGGCAACCCCCCCCCCCTCAACATACAAGGAGAGCCGTGGCGGCAGGAAGAAGCCGCCCTCCTCGCTTGCAAAGGCGCCCCCGGGCTCGCTCTTCGAGGCCTTCCGCGGGGGCGAGCAAAGAGGGAGGGGGCCCCCCCGGAGGCGCCCTCGCGGCGGGCACGCGCACGCCGCCTTCTTTCCTTGCCCATTGCCTTTCCCGGAGTCCCGGGAGCGCGCGAGTGTGTGTGTGTGCGCACGAGCGAGCGAGAGTGAGCGAGTGAGTGTGTGACAGAGAGGGGTGAATGTAGTGTGGCAGCCTACGAAGGAGCTGGATGTAACCGGAGCGTCGGGAAACCACAAGAGCAGCCTTGGAAAAAACCTGCAGTCCAAAGCGGGTCTTGGGCTAGACCCCCCCCCCAAGAGCACTGCAGCAGAGGGGCCAAAGCTTCCCTAACCCACCCACCCTCTTCCAGCAGCCAGATTTATTTTTATTTTTATTATTTTTTTTGCTTCTGCTGGGCTCGAACCCTTCCGCGGCTTTGCTCAATAGGCAGAGGATCTAATTTGCTGAGCGAGAAACGGCCAAGGGAAGAAGAAGAAGGAGGCGGCGGTAGTAGTGGCACAGGAAGACGAGGAGGAGGAGGAGGAGGAGGAGGCAGAGGCAGCAGAGGAATATTTCTGGCTTGGTGGACGCTCTACTTTTCATGGCAATGCAAAAACACCGGCAGATTTCTCCTTTCCTGGCTCTCTTTTTTGGGGGATTTATCTGGGGGGTCTACTCCAACGGCATACAAATAGGTGAGTGTCTTCTTCGGGGCAAGCAACCCTTTTTTTTTTGTCTTCCTCTCCCAAAGTCTAGGATTTTCTTTTATTTTTTTGTTCTTCCTCTAAAGAAGATTTGATTCTACTCCGGTTCATAGCATGTAAACTTAGATTGAGCTTCTCCTGCTGAAGGAAATGGATGCTAAGAGTTGCTTTCGTTAGAAACCGGTTCCCAGTACCCTTGTTTCGCAATTCAAATGACTGCTTCCCAGCTGTACTTTTTTTTCCCATTAAAAAAAAACAAAAACCAGTTCATTTCCACAAATGCAGGTGACATTTCCCCCTGAAATCATGAAATAGGATCCCCTGGGATGGATTTAAAAAAAATAAAAATAAAAATCAGAAGGTGTCTGGATCAGTGAAGGATGCAAATCTGAACTGGAAGGGTATTCAGAGTGGCCGCTGCCCTCAACATGTCCACCGATCTTAATCGGGGTTTGCAATTGCTAAAAAGCAGCAAGAGATGACCACTACCGTAGGTTAGGACAGATTGTCCTGAAAATCAGTGAGATTAAGGCCATTCTAGTCTGAGGCAAGTTCCAAGGCCATTTCCCCCCAGCAGAACTCATATTCCTCCAGCTCAACCTGCAGCACTGATATCTTCTCTCACTCAGTCTGTTTCTGTCTCTGGTTCTGTTTTGATGTTTGTCTGTCATTCATCCAACAGGAGGGCTCTTCCCCAGAGGGGCAGATCAGGAATACAGTGCATTTCGTGTAGGAATGGTTCAGTTTTCCACTTCAGAATTCCGACTCTCACCACACATTGACAATCTGGAGGTGGCCAACAGTTTTGCTGTCACCAATGCATGTGAGTAATCAATCTCTCCTTGTGTTCCCTAGATTGGTAGGGTTGGGGCAGCAACTGCCATTGTGAATCATGCAAAGGATGAGAGTAATGATTGTGGCATTTTTATCTCTCCCAAAATAATCTTGGGAAAACTTGGTGGAGGGGTGAGGAGCTTCAACTATGGAGTATCCATCTAGCTATGATTGCCTGTCACCATCATCCTTCCATCCCCACCCCTCCCCTTTCAAACTGGATTGTACCACTTATGTTGGCAGTTAATTTTCAAGCACATTACAGGTTCTCTTTCTGTTTTACATAAATTGGCTTCAGTTGAGGAATGACCCCACCCTTCTCAATATAAGAGGTCCACATGTCTAAGAGGGGTGTGTGGTTTTCTCTATTTGTTTCTAAAATTCACCCCACTTATGCTGATGTATTTACTTCTTGAAATTAATTCTTTTTCTCTTGCAATAAGGGACTATTTGGGGGTTGGACATTTTATGTATTTGTTTTATTGTTTTCTATTGCAGAATGTATAGAATTTTTCAATCTGATAATTACATTTTTTTGCCTTATATATACGACCATTCATTTTATCCTTCTATAAAAAAAGGATAAACCTACATTTTCATCTCTCAACCTTTCCTTAGCTTGGTTCTTGATTCTGTAGAATACAGTATAGAAGTAGATGTTGAGAATATATATAATGAGAGTAACTGTGAGATGGTCTTTCTGGATCCTGTATCGATAGCTGACTGGTTGCACATGGCAGAGGATCTCTGATATCCCTTGAGATGGCTGTATCAGGAGCAAGATTCCATGTAGGATGTGTGCTGAAAGACACAATTATTTCTATGACTCTAATTTCAAATCTTTGACATCTTGCATTGTTTGGGAAAAGATACATTGAAGGGGAGTGCTAGAGGAAGCAACCCAAAAGCTGCAGCTGGATTATTGCTCTGAAAAGCAATAGCTGTAGAAATACTGATCAGCCATTTTCCTTTTTGCAATTTTACCATTTTAGAATTATACTGCCCCTATCTCTTTCTCAATAAATCACATCACTTTAAGGAGCTCTCTCTTGATTTGGGGAGGAAAGAAATGAATAGAAGGCACTAAGGTTCTGAATGGGGGGTAGAAATGTCTGTCCCTATACAATAATGCTGCTAGAATGAGGATAACTGGAATAGCAGTCTTGCTTGGCATATTTTCAATGAATCTTTAGCATATCCAGAATAAACATATGACAGTCTTCTTCCTTCTGCTTGGCCTTAATTTGATATTCTTCTTGTACAAGGTTGGTTCAAATCCATTGGCTTCCACAGAAGGTCATTGGATAATTAAGCTAGGCACTCCCTTTTATTCCAGTGTACCTTGCAGACTTGTGATTAAAAAAAATGGTAGGGAAGACAGATGTACATGTCACCATGAGTTAGAGAAGGAAAGGTGGTATATACATCTAATTAATAAATATATATGTTTCCAGGAGTTTTCAGCAAAGCAAACCGTGTATATAGATAATGAAAGATCATATAACAAAAATAATACTGAGCCAAATCAAACCTGAAATAGCTTGGGTTTATGTTGTTGTTGCTAGCTTTCAGGTTTTTTATCCATGTCTTAACTGAAAAACACGTTTATTTAGGGGAATAGATGATAGAACAACAAATTATTGTGGCTGCTACTACCAAACTAACAACCATTGCCATTATTTCATTTTCTTTCCACTTAATTATTTACATACAGAAATGTGTCCTTTATCACACTTCATTGTTCAACAATATCTCTTAAGATGTTCATCACTGAATTGGACATTGTTAAACTTATTACAATATAAAGTGGAATGCAATGGTCAAGAACATGTTAGTCCTGATCTTACAGTCTAATTTTGGGCTGGAATTGAATGAATACAAAGCCCACATTACAGATTATTAGAATATCAATACAACACCTTAAAAGTCATATAATTAGAGAATGGTGGCTGAACTGACTCTCTGCATGATGGCCTGTGTAGAAAAATAAGTCCTAGGTAGAATGTACTTTGTCATTTTGTCACCTGAGAGAGCTAATTCCTCACAGGAATTAACTCTGAAATGCTAACTAAAACCATGATCTGCCCTGTGGATGGAAAAGCATATTCTACACATTCATGTGTTAGAGATTATAGTTACATGCAGCTGTCTGCAGTGAAAATTAACATATTGAATGTAATGGCTGTCATAGCAGAAAAAACCCCAAGTTCATCTTAAACCCATTTTATTGTAGAGTAGGCTTATGTAGGCAATACCTATTTTCATTCCTTGTATTAATTATTAAGTAATTATTAAATACCACTGAAATTTCACAACATTTCAAAATGGATAATGTTAAAGGTTTCACTGAATTCTTTATGAGAGAGGAGGGAGACTGAGGGAGAAGGAGATAATGTTAGTCTTCCAGAAAAACCTTTGGACAAAAGCAAAACTTATGACTATTGTCATCATTGGTCATGTATCGGGGCTCTTTTAATTTTTTTGTAGACTTATTAAAGGAAACTCATTCAGTCAGCCCTGTATTTTTGTGATTAAATGCAATACCCCATTATTACAAGTAGAATCCAAGTCTCAAATCTATTTTCATTTCAAAAGCAGAGCCCTCATAAGCACAGATCTTAATCCGAAGGCTCTTGGGTATATGCAGAATACATTTTCTTCATCTATTTTTCTCTCTGTTTAGAGCAGAAAAAAGATTTCTAGGAAGGAATGATCCCTACCACCTCTTCTTAGAAATGTGGTATAGTCAAGATCAAAATAATCAGTAAATCCACTGGGATCACCAGGGACGATTAAGTATATACTTTGAAAAATTGAGAAATATAAAAGTTTTAAAACAAAAATAAACCCAAGACTTTAAAAAAGCAAAATACAACTAGTCAGAGAGTGAAAAAACAATCCAAATTAAATTAATGTGCCATAATACTTTGAAACCAAGATTATAATGAACCAGCATTACAACTGAATACATATTAACTCATTTACTAATAAATAAGACATTACTATACACTTAACATAAATAAAGAAAGTCACAATTAAAGCATGATATTATATTTTATAGGGAGATGATGAATCTCTATTGAATAAGTTTGGTAAAATGTTAGAAATAAAACATTCAACTATATCATCAGATGTTTTATACAGAAATGTATTGATTTAAAATTTACCATTTTTAGTATGACTGATCTGAAGAATCAGAAAAAGACAAAAGAAAAAGACATTTCATGTCATATAGATGCAAAGAATTGAAGTTTGATAATGAAGAAAGAGGAGAAAAAGATGAAGAGAAAACATTAGATAAATGGTAAATTAACATGAGAACCACAATTATGAAATAATAAATAAAATAAAGTTCAGCCTGGAAAAAAATATTATTATTATTTGTATATTATCCCATGCTTTAAAAAATCTGGATGCTTCACAAAAAAAATCAATAATATGTTGAAAAATTCAATAGAACTTTTATAACATGCTCAATTCATACTTTGTAAGAAAAAAATACACCAAGGCCATCAAAATTAAGCTTTGAGTGCTCAGGGGAAGAGTTACTTTTAGTAGAGTTTAAAGAGACCCAGACAGGATCTGAACAGGCCTCAGAAACAAGTTGTTACTATGGTAATAGTAGCCATCAAAGACGCCTGGCCCCAAACATACCCCCACTTCCCTAACGTCTTGGTGGGCAGTACTTACCCAAAGATCTTCTTTTCAAGTGTATCACATAGTGTGTGCAGATTCATTTGGATGAGAGTTTCCTTCATACATTTATCCCTATTAGTCTGGAATAAGATATAAATCTACATAGTAACATCGAACTCATGCCCAAAATATATTGGTAAATAATGCTTACTTACATTGGGACACTTGGAGTAACATACAGGCTTGCATATGATTCAATAAGAAAAATCATTCTATCCCCAATATATGATTTCATCCTCTGTCCTCACTATCTTTGAAATACAATGGGGGGGGGGGGACGTGTAGTTCTCCCTGATTGTTCAGTGCTTAAATTAAATCATATTGCATGGACGGCCATCTTCAGCTTGGGTTGAGATTATGGATTTGTTATTTCATCCTTAATAGGTTCTCATTTGTTGGCTGTACTTCATATTCCTTTAACATTCCAACGGTAGTTAACTTATAACTGTCTGGAATCTTCATAATATAATATTAGTCAGTGATCAGGACAGTTGGATTGGGTTAGGAAATATAAATTGAGGTGTATAATATTTTGATATTAACATCATAGGGTCAAATGGCTTATTTATTTTTTAATATCTTGCCAAAGACCATTATGAAACTCCTCTTTAAAAAAACCAGCTTTTTATTGTATAGTTGCTTCCTAAGCTATCAATATGCATATGACAGGATATGTTATAAATATGTTATAATATTAATACACTAATGTGTATATTTTTTTAAAAAAAGAATTGTATGTGAATTAATGAATATGAATTAATTATTTTCTTCAGCCATTGTAAAAACATTTGGCTAATATAGATAATCTCTATAACTGGAAATGCTGAGGTAAACTTCAGACAAAGTAAGATTCTTGACTATTAATTTATTCTCAGCCTCTTCACTATAATTTTTATATCTCAGTATGGCAGCAGATAAATTAAAAAATATTTTAGGTATTCACTGGAGCATATTGATTAAAATAGGAGCAATGCAAATATTAATCACTTGAACGAGATGGTATAGAACAGGGGTATCAAACTCACATCATCACAGTGTCATTACATGATGTATCGGGACTTTCCCCCCCTTTGCTAGACCGGGCGGGGGCGGGGCCAGCACGTGATGCCTTCGGTCTGTGGGCCGTGAGTTTGACACCCCTGATGTAGAAAATAAATGCATGTATCTAACAGTTTTCCATTGTCTACCTATTTCTTTTAAAAGAAAATAAATAGATAATTACAATAACACCTTCCTTAGATTCTTTCTGGTATAGCTTAAATGTTATGAACAAGGTAAGCCAAAGAAGAAATT